GTGTAATGTCCAATTGAACTGAATCAGTGTGGTGCGAGGGTAGAGGGCCCACCTAAGGATTGCTGCCAATGGCATAAAGAGAACTGGAGAGGAGGAGGAGGGCCATTGGTTCCCCTAGAGAAGTGCTGTTTGATGGCTTTGCTGATATAAACTTGGCTGTTCTCATCTTTGGAGGAGCTCGGGACCTTATTGCTGAGGATGGTTGTGATTCACTTTGGGGAGCTCTGATCCTTTGAGCATCATCACTTCCTGGCTTCAGAGGAAAAGATGGTATGCAGCTGATTTTCCTGGAGACGTTTGTTATGCTGGCTTTCCTGATAGGAACTTGGCTGTCACCATCAGAGGAGCTGAGGATGGCTGCGGTTTTTTGAAGGGAGCGCTGGTCCTTGTCTTCAGTATCACGTCCTGGCTCTAGTACAGATCCTTCATCCTGTTGGCACAGACTTTCCAGCTTCCACCACTGACCTTTGGGCCTTCCCAGCATAGGTCCTTGAGACAGACTTGCACAAGACATTGTTGTAGCCTCGAGGCCTCCACCTGGACTTGTAGAGGACATTGCCATAGGCTCTAGGTCTTCAGCTGGACTCATGCAGAACATTGTCATGGGATCCAGGCTGTGACTTGAATTCTTGGGTCTTTATTATTATCTCCTGTACTCTCTTATATGTCACTCTTTTGGTGATTATTAAAATCCTACAAATTGTGTCCTGTAGTAATTCCTTTTCCTTGCAAACTTTGACTACAACAGTATCACCACAGGTGTGATAGTTTGTATGAAAGTGGTAATTTAGCAATATGTTAATAGTAAGTAAATGGATTCCAGATGTATTTTGGGCCCTGAGCCAAAGGACTTTTGGACTGATTGGATTGAGGAATTTCTGAAAAATGGAGCAAACAAAAATCACTACTCAAAGTGGACACAAGTCTTATGGTTATCAAAAGAAAAATGGAGGGCTGGGGAGATAGTTCAACAGCATAAACATCTGCCAAACTCAAGGTCCTGTCTTCAATCCCTGGTATCTCATGCAATGCTGGCCCCAAAACCAAGCTTGGGTTGCACACCTGTAATCTCGGCACTGGAGAGGCTGAGACAGGATCATTATAAGTCTGAACTGTAGAGCGAGACCCTATGTCAAAATCGTGAAGTAGAATAGTGAAAAACATAAGTCAAAAAGTAAGCTGGTATACATGAATGAACCATAAAAATATATCAAGGCATAGCAAAACCAAAATTCACACAGGATACCATATAACATTTAAAAATAGATAAAATTTGGAGCTGGGGATATAGCTCAGTGGCATGCCTGGCAAGTATAAGGTCCCAACTTCTATCCCTGGTACTGAAAAATAAAATTCGTAGTTGATGTTAAGTCAGAACATAGTTTCTCCTTGAGGAAGACAGTGTTTTTGAGGGAGGCACAAGAGAGCCCCTTCTGGGGTAATGGAAATATTATACATCTTAATATAGGTTAGTCATGTGGTAAACAATATTTTGAAAGTCGATTTAGGCCAGGAAGATGGCTCAGTCGAATAAGCACTTCCCTGGCAAGTGCAAGGGCCTCAGTTCAATACCCGGTTCTGCCAAAATAAATAAATAAATAAATAAATAGAAAAAAAGAAACTTTAAACATTACCCCAAATTTGGTATGCATAAAGTTGTGGCCAGGAGGTAGGTAGTTCCTAAAAATTAGTGACATTAAAAGTAAAGGACTTTGTACAGGAGCACTAAAAATAGTTTGAGGGCAGCCAAAAATCAGAAAACTT